TGGAATATTGGGGGCAGTTCTGGGCTCCCCAGTGTAAGAGGGATATGGAGCTTCTGGAGAGGGTCCAGCAGAGAGCAACAAAGATGATTAAGGGAATCGAGCATCTATCATATGAGGAAAGACAAAGTGAGTCGGGCCTGTTTTCCCTAGAGAAAAGAAGGTTGAGAGGGGATCTGATTAATATCTATAAATACCTGAGGGGGAGAATGTAAAGAGAATGGGGCTAAACTCTTCTCAGTGGTGGCCAGTGATAGGACAAGGGGCAATGGGTACAAGTTGAAACACAGGAAGATTCATCTGCATGTGAGGAAGAACTTTTTTTCCTGTGAGAGTGGCAGAGCCCTGGCACAGGCTGCCCAGGGAGGCTGTGGAGTCTCCTTCTCTGGAGGTCTTCCAAACCCACCTCGATGCCACCCTGTGCCACATGCTGTAGGCATCCCTGCTGGAGCAGGGGGACTTGGACTAGATAATCTCTACAGGTCCCTTCCAACCTTAACCATTCTGTGATTCTGTGAAATTCAGAGATGTCCTGATGTTGTTGGCATCTCATCTCTCAGGGCTCTGCTACCTCAGTGTGGAGAGTTACACAAATGCTTGGCAGAGTGTTGACCCCTCCTCCTCTGGTTGGCTCTCTCTTCTCTTGATGAGAATCCTCTGTATGAGGATTTAGGAATAACATAGACACCGTGGAGTAAAAGCAAATACTGGCCTCAGACAATTGCTAAATGCTGGGCTCCTAACTAAAGTTTGTTGATGGCACTTGGTTGAACAATGTAAATTTTTATGTAATCAAAGAACAGGAACTTACTTCTTAAAAATGGGCACATAGGCTTACCAAGTGGTGCTGTCTTTTAAAAGTAGATTGCTTGGCTAGTTTTAGTGCAATTTTCTCCAAACTAAACATAACTCATGAACTTCGGACCAGCATTTAACTACATGTTTTGATTTTTCAAGCCAGTACTGAAACTTTGTTATTACTGACCCTTTTTTCAGTGCAGGGGCAACTTCTAGAATAGAATGGGATGAGTAACCCTCCGAACTGCTGTCATTTGCATTTACTCTGAGCCAGTGGGAAAGGCTAGAGGAGTAAATTGGAGTAGACACCTGCTTTGTAGATGAGCAAAGCTAGGTGAGGTGAATGTCATGCGAGAATTACTGCCATGTTTTAAAGAAGTGAATATTCAGAAAGAAGTTCATTACAGATTCACTCTTCTTTCAGCAGAGAGTTCATTACAGATGTGAAAATAAACACAGGAAAAATAGGAAAAAATGTAGTATATGAAGAATTCTAAACAACTGAGCAAAAAATACTTTTTTACAGCACAGATTTTTATTTCTTAAAATCTTTTTTTTTAATAGTTTTCATTTTCATAATAATGTATTCAGCAGGAAAAAATGGACTATTGTAAATGATTCTCATTTATTCCTCCAGTGAATTTTCTGGAAGGGCTGGAATATTGTCTTTTGTTTAAGGCAGTTGGAGACTTTAGAAAGGCTATGGGGTGGTCTCTGTGACCTAGACAGAAGAATTAAAGTATGAAGCTATCAAAACACTTCATATAATTTGCATTTCTGATCTGGTTACCTGCGTGAAGGACTAATGATCTAGAACAGTTGATTAAGTTAATATGGTTGCACATGCAGCTGGTTTTCAGGTATCTCTTGTGAATAAATAAATACATAGCTACTGTAAAAGCTGTAAATATTGGGATCAATTTAGCCTCATTTATGTTCAGCAAAAAAGGAAGGTACTGACAATCTGGATTCTTGCTGGTCTCAAGCCAGTCTAGCACAGCAGCAGAGACAGGAAAAGTGATTTGTTTAGACAGCAAAATATATTGGATTTTGTTAAGTAGAGATGAGGTCTAGTATAAGACACTTTGAAACTTGGTCTTCAGTCTGTTATTAAGTAGTTATCTGCCAAAATGAGCAAAATTAAAATAAAGGATGTGGTTGGAAGCTTGAAAGCTCTGCCCAAAATCTTGATAATTAGAAGTTGAGAACTGATGACTGTGAGGGTAATGAGAAAGGGGAAGATCTCAAAAAGAGGTTAGAAAGAATAAATTGTACTTGAAAGAAAATTTGGATGGCATATCTCTAAAGCATGTTTATGGAGAGCAGCTTTCAGTTCCAGATACCTTGACTGACTTTTCTTCAACCCAGCCTGGCCTCTTTAAATAAAGTCAGTTCTATTTGCTGTGCATTGATGTGAACATTGATATGGTCTAAGCTATGTGGTGGAAATTTCAGTGAGAACTAGAAACTATGCCTGCTTCCCAGACGTCATCAGTTTTGTGCAATTTGTTATCGACAACCTTTCATGTGGCTTCTTCTCAGGCCTGTTTAGGAGCTTTTGATCTAAAGACAAGAAGTGATCCAGAGACCGACTGAACCAGCCAGATAACTCCTATCAGGGAAGCGAATAAAAACAGGGAATGGGCTGCATTTTAAATTTATACTAAACTCAGAATTTTCCTGTGAGAGAACAAGTAAAATAGCATCTATTTATAAGCTTCTAAAATACATAAGATCTAGTGTTTTGGAGCAATTTTTATTTAATGTCCCTAATTCTCATGACTAGATAATCTGTTTATGACAAAGTAAGGCCTAATTCACGATACGCAATACAGTTTGTCCCTGCAAAATTGGAAAGTGCATTTAAAATAATTTAAAAAACGCTAGTATAAGGAAAAAGGAAGAACCATTTCCTTTATATTTCTCCCGTTATTTCTGTGGGAACAGATGGCCTTGAAGCCCTGCTTTTCCATAGAGTGTCCTACAGGCTTAAGTGGGAAGACTCCTAACTCTGCTTGCTGGGGTCTCACCATGTCCTTCCCAAGGCCGTTTTTGTTGCTGTCTGCAGCAGAAGGGTTTTTCTTTAGAAGCCTGTCTTCAGTTGTGACATAGGAAATTGAAGTGTACAGGAGCTTGTGTACAGAGGTGTCAAATATCAACTGGAGCACTTTAATTCTCTCTTTCAGGAAGCAGAGAGCAAATATAACCTTATACACACTCAACGGAACAGTATGGAGCTCAGACTAATACACTGTTTCTAAGTAAGGCATTGAATGCTGCTCAGATGACAGTTTTGCAAATAGCAATATATTTTTGGTAAAACCATAATATTAAGTTATAAAACCTGGACTTATAGAGACTTCTTACAGATATTGATAAAGTAGAATGGAGACTTCAGTAGTGTATGGGTATTCAGGTGAAGTTGAGCCTGTTTAATTTAATTTTATTCAGAATATAGTTACACACTATGTCTAATGCATTAGACTGAAAACAAAGTTCCAGCCATGCTCATAAGTCCATGGTGAAAGCTGGAAAATATACCATAAAGGGACATTTTTTCAACATCCAAAATGCTTTTTTATTTACAGTATATATTGCAGTAGAAGTATATCCTGGATATAGTCCTGAAAGTGCATTTTGTTCAGTTTGTCACTGTGAGGAAAAGCAGCTTGGTTCATGTTAGCTGAGGAAGAGAGAAAAGTTTGAATCCTGTGTGTCATTCCAGAATATTGGCATAAACATTATTGTTGACTTTAAATGGTACATTTAAGTGATCTGGGAGTATCAGTTCTTAAAATATATGACATTAAATAAACAGAGTGAGTTTTGGATTAATAGGGAATAAGATAAAAAATAAGTAGCAACAAGCTACTTATGAGTACCTCACTTAAAAGTAGTTAGCAAATGCCTATTTATTTCATATTATATTGGACTAATAATAAGTAACACCTACATTCTGTTTGGTTGTTTGTTTTTTTTCTAAAATATTGACATGATATAAAAATTGAAGATGTAATCACTTCGCAATTTTAGAAGTTGTTTCAGTAAGAATTTCACAGTTCAATTTGACAGTTTGCTTTTTAACATCATTCTTGTATAAATCACAAAAAAAGGAAAATATTGTTAATGGTGGTTCTTTAAATGTCAGGAAAACATACCAGTTAATATAAGAAAGAAAGTGAGAAAGAGAGAAACAGAGAGAGAGGAAGGTGAGCTGTCAAATTTGCTAAAATAATCGCTAAGTATACAGACTAATATTTTCAAATGACGTATTGTTCTGCATATTGTTGCTTTAGGTGCCAAACCTGACTGTGCATGATTGAATATGCTGAAAAGCAAACTATCAAGGATATTTCAAAGTGTTTAAAGTTAAATGCCTAAAACCAAACATTGTTTATATTGAGAATTGTTGTCTTGAGTTGTAACATTTCAAATTGGAATTAAATCTTTCAAAAACATCAAACAAATGATTCAGAAAGCTCTATCTGTCTAGATCTATCTGTCTAGAAATAAAGACTCATTGCTTTCCTCCTTAAACAAGCTCTCAATTTCAGAATGCTTCAAAATGAAATAACTGAGAAAAATTAATTGAGCTAGTATTGAAGCAGATAATCTGTATTTCTGTTGCTAACTTACTGTATTTGTTTCTGAACCATCGTGAAAGGAGTACTCTTAAAAAAATCCTGATTCAGATTTTGTGTTTTAGTACTGCAAAGAGTACTTTTCCTAAGTTTTCCAAAGTTTTCCTTGAACTTGTTTGTGTTTGCATCTACTGCTAGGATTTTTAGAACAGAAGTAGTAAGGCTGACTACATGTGGTTAGTACACTTTATGGTAACTATAACATGTTCAGTTATGAATTAAACTGTAGGAGGAAGAAGGTATGGCTTTTAAACTTACTAAAGTTTATGTACCAGAGCTTATTTTAAAGGCGTTTGGAGACTTAAATGTGCATTTACAGTGGAATAACAGTGGAGTAGTTTATTAATTCCAAAATCTGAAGTGATACATATCCATCTGATGCATTATAAAAATTATTTTAGTTGACGTGATTTTCATGAATTTATTTTTGACATTTCTAGAGTTATCTCCTTTAAAATATATTTACATTCCTATTATGTTATTTAACTAATCTTTTTAAAAAGGGAACATTACATATTGAATACTGTACCTCAATTTTATTGTACTGATTTTACTGGTTACCAGGTGGGGTGGCAGTTGAAAAATTTGGTGAATGCACTACGAGAGGATCCGAGTGGTGTTATCTTAACTTTGAAAAAGCGACCTCAGAGCATGCTTACCTCAGCACCAGCTTTACTGAAAAATATGAGATGGAAGCCCCTTGCTCTGCAGGTAATGAAGCTTAATCATAAGTCATACACCATCATTTTAACTACAGGTTATCTCAGTGATGCTTTGTTGTGCTTCATCTAAGCAGCATATGGATTTACTCTTGTATGCTTTGAAAAAAATGTTTCTGAAATGATTTCTCTGCAGTTGTTCTCATAGGCTCAGTTGAAATTAAACCTGTTTGTTCATAGGACTTTTCAAAGTTAAGAAATAATCAAAATAGAATTTATGTTGTGGAAAAGTAGTCCCAAATAAATCAGTGAGCAATAGGCAAGAAGGGACACTCTGCTGTGTGGCACAGGATGCTTTAGAGTTGTCATGCATTTTTCCAAGTATATTTAAGAAATTATCCAATTTTGATTGGACTTCTTGTTAAGCTTTTAGAGCAATATACCTCCAAAGGAGGGCAGGAAGAAATCTTTAGTTCTCAAATTAATCTATCATGAAGTTGAATGAAATTTCCTAAGATCATTTTCACACTTGGCCATCAAAATTTGCTCATGTAAATAAAGTTGTGTTTGTGTTAAAGCTCTTCTTGATATCAAACCTTTGCACCTCAGGAAATGTAGTACAGGAGGTCCAGCTGGGTCTTTATTTTTATTAGGTCTGCAATGTGCTGAAAACCATGTAATGGTTTCATTAAAGCTTTCATGTTTCACTCCAGGATAAAATGTCACTGTGATGGATTACTCTAGGAAATAAGAGTTATCTCCAGACTGATGAAAGCATGTTACTAACAGATGGAATTGAAAAATAATTCCCTTTTTCTTTCAATTCAGATAGGAGAATATTTACAATGTTATTTTCATTTCATAAAGAATATATTTTGAGGACATTTTTATTATCATAATAAAAAAGGCTAATTTAGAATTAAATGCCTTTGGAGGTGAAGAGACATTTACATTGCTCAGGCAAAAGGAAAATGAGATATGAAAGTGCAACTACCATTTGCTGTGGTATTTGACATTTAAGAAAATTAACAGTTCATAGAAAAGTTCATATTTGTAAGTTAAATTAATTCATAAAAAGAACTAATATCATGAAAAAATTCTCTTAAATATATGTATATGTTCTTTTGTAATGGTTAAATGCATTATCATCTTTCAAAATGGATAGATTTGAGACGGTTAAGATATTTTGGCCTTATAGATACAAAAAATTGACTGAGAGATGTGAAACAAACTTTCAACCAAAAATTCCTTGCTACAATCTGAACATAAAATTCTAAATCTGTATGTATTATGACTGTATGAATGTCCTACTTGTAAGACGTGCTTTTTATCATAGCTTTAGCGAGACTGTATATTACAAATGAAAATTGCAGATCATTACTTTAAATGGGATCAGATACTTTTGCTCTAAAGCTTCTTTCTGAAGTTGGGTATTCATGAGTTGGGTTAATTGTCCTAAATATTCCTTTTGGCTACACTATATTGTTTGCCAGTAAAGTAATTCCACTGAAGATCCCCAAAAAGACCTTCTGAGGCAGGATATTTATTATCACAAATGTACAATTAATTCAAGACAGGTTACTCCAAAAGGCTAGAAAGAAAGTGGAAAAAAAAATACTCCATTTTGACTAAATCCAGTTAGAAAATGAGGATTCCCATGGACATCTTACAGTGACTGTATTCATGAGCTAAAGATTTTGAAACTATACACTCAGTTCCAGAAACAAAAATCCAGTTGTCTTGTAGTGTGTTCTGTTTGGCTGTAGTTTGCATCTCAGCATGCTTAATTCAATATAGATACTGGGGTATTGTTCAGATTTATCTAGCTTAAGAGGTCCACTATGTACATATCTACATTTGGGTTTGTCATCTTCCTTGTGTACTTACATAACAGTTGTTCATTCATTCATTTTAGATCCATCTGCTTTAGGATGAAATAAATTGCACCCTGTACATGTCTCTCTGTCTCTCCATTTGATGAGAAAGAGAGTCTGGACAGCCAGCAAGGATATGGCTTATCTATAATAGATAAGATGAATATGACCTTAGATATAGTTTTTCTGTAGTATTGCATGGCCTCGAGGAGAGAGGAAGAGGAGAATTGATTTTCTTTTTACCCATAGCACAGAAAATACCAATAGTTTTAGGCCACAATGGCTGAATACTTTTAACTAGTCGAGATAGTGTTAAAAATCAGATATAGAAGTCTGACATCATCATGATATCATTTTGATTTCATCAAACATGACATCAGGAAAAGGCCAGAATCTCATTCAACACTTACGTGTGCAGTATGCCTATGTGTGTCTGTTGTAATTTGTGATTTTAGAGAGACATAACAATTTGCTTAAATAGACTCGAGTGTGGAAAAAGTTCCATGGCCAAGTGAAGGCAAACTTCCGAATCTGTACAATCTGGAGACCTTTATTGCCCATTTAGGCAGGTCTGAGGTGAATAGATATCCAATGGTGTTAAAGTTTAAATGTAGCCTAATGTGAGATTGGTACTCTATGTTTGGCTGATTGAAACAGCAGCGAAAACAGTCAGAGGTCAGTGTAATTGTATAATTTTAAAACATGCAGAAGTAATGTCTGTTTGTTTTAATAGTTCCATTTCTTTTCATATTCCAGCAGTTGTCAGTTGTCAGAGGCAGAATTTACTTCAAAAATTTCTGCAAAAAAATCTTCAAAAAACTGTATGTTTTGTAGCTGAAATCGCCCTGTGTCTGTTCTTACCTTCTGTATGTTCCAGATTCATGTGAGGTGCTGTTCTACAGTAGCAGCAAGGGACTTACTATGAGAGGAGACTGGGAGGGGTAGCAAAGAGGGGAAAAAAAGCATAATACCAATACTTACACCAACTTTGGAAATAGTGGAAAATAAAATAGCATGTTTTCATATATAAGAATATTATGAAATAATTGAGAATGTGCTGTCATCCCAGAGCTAAGTTAATTGAACTATATGTATTATTGAATAGACATAAGCTATAATGAAATTATGACTCAGTAATAATTCTGTTAAAGTAGAAAGTAAGAGCAAAAGATATATGTCTAGAATAAGAAATGAGGACGAAATTACAATAAAATGTGAATTAGTATTTGTAAACTACCTGATGAATTTTTTTTTTTTTTTGGTTCTGCAGAATGAGCAGAGTAAAGGGAAGTTTTAATATCACATGTCAATTGAATTGCATGGAATGAGGTGGAAAGGTGGAAGTTGACCCCACACTAATGTGGGCTGTCAAAAAACAAAACACAGACTTATGCTCTCTCACTTTTGAATTGCACTCATTTTTGAATGCACTCTATCAAAGAATGTCTTTACTGGCTGTTGCCACAAAGGTAGAGGCTGAATATTTCAGTTAAATTATGAGATATTTTCATTGAAAGACTTTAAACTCATTTCTAGTTGAAGGTGAATAGTGTTGATGTATTATTGGTAAATTGCCTTCTGCTTGCTTGGCTGATAATCAAACATGAGATTTGCCATTTGCAGCTATGTGAAAAGAAAAAGATTTAACAGAGACATTCTAAGTATGCCTGGAAGTTGGAGAAGTGCTAAATGAGTCCTCCAGTTCCAGCAGTGTGCAAGTGCTGTGACTGATTCTGAATAGTTTATCAATCAATTTGGCTTATGAGTTGACAGGGTATCCTACTAATTAAATAAGATGTTCTGATAATGATTTTTTTAAGCATTTACTGTTCACTCTTAGTGATCAGGATTAGCCCTGTGCTAGTCAGAGATGCATGGCCCTGCATATGGAAAAGGCTTGGATCACTCAGATATTAACTGGCTACTAATTGGCATAAATACTATTTAGAACTATAATTTTGCCCATGCATTACAGACTTGCCATGAATTACAGGTTATCTGTTAGGTGCAGGCCACATAGTAATTGGTTCGTTCTTTGTTTTAGTTGTTTTTCTTTTAGCAGAAAGCAAATATTTTGATTTTTTTTCATAATTATCCTCATCCTTGGAATAAATCCAAAAGGCTAAGGGGAAAAAGGATGAAAAATAAATGTTCACCCATTATAGCAGTCCAAAAGCTGATATTCAATGGCTCAATGTACAGGAAAATATTGCAACTAGCCCATGGCTGTACTATGCTTCATTACATAATGAGCTTATATTTATAAGTGCATTAATTCCAGTTATAAGGTCAGTCAGTACAAAAACATTCCTTTTTCCTCTTGTGTCCTGATTAAAGCATTTTTTGTTTGTTTTCAGTCACTTGACAATTGCTGTTTTAATATCCATCAGTATCCAACTTCTTGTAGATGATCAGAGCTCTCCCTTAATATATTTTGGAATTTTGTCAGAATTTGTGAAGTCAAGGTATTTTCAGACTGTATTTGTTGTTATTGCTTTTATAAAATTTGAATTAAGCAACTGTGGCCTTGGGGAATTTTGTGGTTACTTTTGCAACTGGAGGTATTCACTAGTATGGCATTGTACCACAAATATTAAGATGTTGTTCCTGCAAGAGGAATCCTATTAAATCTGGCTCTCAGTACTTTCCCTGATACTGCAATTCATCCTGCAAAATATAGATTGATATTTCAGATTACAGTGTTCATATTTCTGACAGTTATTGAGCTTGGTATACATATATTGGATAAGTTGTATCACCTTTAAGGTTTTTTTTTTTTTGACATACAAGTTATTTAATTAATTCTGTTAGAACTATTGAAACTTATGTCTGTGCTCAAAACAAAGAATTGCTGGTTCAGAACCTAATTTAAATAAACTTTCTTATTCAAGCTTGTCTGCTTCATTTTTTCTTTCCAGTTTGGGTTATTTTGGGGAGATTTCAAAGAAAGGCTCTCCAAAGTACTGTTTGAGGAAGAGTGGAAGTTTCAAAAAACGTATTTTTCAGCGCATAGGAAGTTTTAAGTAAGTCACTTAGGAACATGTGACCAAGAAACTAGCCCTCTTTTGCTTTCTGGAAAATATTTTTCTAATTAGTTAGAAGAAAACAGACTTCAACTACAGTGTGGAAGATTTGTCATCCAGTTTCTTTAAAATATAGAAAAGACTCAAGAATGAATGTATGAACATGTTATCATGCTTCAGCTAATTTGGCCTAGGTCTTGCTCAACCTGGGGACAGGTCTATCTGCCAGCCAGCCAGCGAGCCTTCACATGGACAGACTTTTCGACCCCTCTTATGCACTCCTTGTCAAGCTTATTTGGGTGCCAGCTTCTATATACTTGAAATAGTTCACTGTACTGTTCTGTATCTAAGTTGTGCTGGTGAAGAACTGCCAGGAACTTAGTGTTTGTAGCTTTTTAAACAGACTTTATTTTGGCTTATGTGTGCATCTTATCTCCACTCTCTTTATATTCTGCTTTTTGGACTCAAGCAGCAGCCACAATATAAACAGAATCCTTGGTTTGAGAGAAAATGCTAATTTTAATTATTATTTTTTGTTATTGTTCCTCCTTGACTATATTGCCTCCTTCCTTTATCTATACACATTATATTGTTCTCATTATTTATGATTAGAATAAATGATCTTACGCTTTTTAATCATTACATTCAAATAAAATACTAATTTGTTGACTTTTCAGTTATTTAGTTTTCTTTAAATTACATGGGAGCTGGGCACTATTATGGATTCTGACTGGCTTTTCTTACAGAGTCTGAATTAGTTGCAATATTTTATTACTTTTTCATGTTATGGCTGGTCTGGTAAAAAGTTAATTTTATTGGAAACCTTCTGTTCAACAACTTGTGATGACCTGGATCCAGTATTAAATATATATATTAAGCTTAAAATCTGTTTATTGATGAAACTGCTGTAAAAAGACATTACCACTTAAAAGTTTGTATTGGTTTTGCTCATATTTTTAAAAGTTGTATGCCTTCTGGTAGAGCAATGTTTCTCAAATTTTATATTGCAACTTCCAAGGGAGTTACTGGAAGTTTCAAAGAGCTTTAAGAAACATTAAAAAGAATTTTAGATGTTATATATTAATTATTAATTGGATTCATTGTTGAGAGTAAAAAACACATAAGAAAAAAATTAATGCTGACATGGCAGCCTCTCCGTTCCTTCAGGGTTGGGGTGAGAAAAGCAGCAGTGGCTGGTGGTGGCAAGAGGGAGGTCACTACCCTGGGGAAGAGCCGACAGCTGACAGAGCAGCTTCTGTGCTGCCTGGCAGTCCATATTTACAGGAACTTTGTATTTTCCTGCACTGAAGAAACTGAGCTGCTATATGTAAAGGTTGTTATCTGTTCCCTGGCTAAGTGTTTGACAATTTGGGAAAGGGTCCATAAAGACTAATGAACTTGTCGAAGGACGATGCATTCAAAATATTTGAGAAATAGTTCTCCAGCATGTACTGAAACATGATTTCTTACATTTTTCTCTGTGGGTTTATTTTGGTGCAGGTTTCTCATTCTTCGGCACATTTTTTGAGGCTATCTCAATTTTAGTGAGTGACTTCTAAAGTTTATCACGGTATTCCCATGGGTCAAGTACTCTTTAGGTGAAAATTCTCAGTTTTATTACTATTTCAGATATCCGACTTCTCCTGACTAGCCTACCTAAAGGGGCTGCAGCAGGAGAAAGTTCTAGTCCATCAGAAGAGAATTAGCTGAGCAGAGGCACTAGATGTACTCGAGCACACTAGATACACCCTTGAGCACTGCATATTTCTCTGCTCAATGTACCTGCACGTCATAGTCCACTGAGTCCACTGAGTGGCTCCTGCTGAACTGGAGACCTCTAGAAGCTGATTTGCTTGCAGGTGCACAACTCAACTCAAAATGAAATAGTTAGGCTTCTAAATTGCACTGAAAAGGGTGATGTGTGCGCCCTTTACCTAACGGTCCTCTAAAAGAAGGCTTTATTTTAGCCAGGAAGACTGAAAGACTTTAATTCCTTATAAAATGAAAACTGAACTCTTCCAGCAATGTTCGCAGTTAGATGAACTACTAAAAGGAGAGACCATTTAAATGGTTTCACTGTGGAGCAATTCTTTTAAAAGAACTTAGTGACTTATCTGGAGAAGTGGTGATAATGTATGTATATATGTATACCCATTTTTACATGTATATATATATTTATATAAAGAAGACTATTTATATCTATATACTTATTTTTCTTCAGTTGCAGTCACATTGGCTTTCTTTTTTTGTGGAAGTAAGCTTAAGGGTTGAGTTTGGCAGTATGACACAGATCTGGAAAGACCCACTGTCTAGCATGGGAATAGTTTGGCTGAAATCTTTTCCCTTCAGAGCTTCAAGCTACTGGGATTACTTGTGCATTTCTCTCTCAGACTGAGTACTACTTTTTCCTGTTGCACTCGCCTTTTTAACTGCCTTGCCTAGACAAGAGATGAACTAAAACGATGATTTCCTCAAAGACACTTAAACCCCATTGATTTCCACAATGTCCCAGCAAACTGTTCTGATAGGCAAGCCAGCTTGTACATCTGAACTGTGTGTTATCAAGGACTTATGGACTTTCTGCAGTGAAGTTACTCAGCAGATTTCCTCAACTTCAGCAGTGGAATTTTCCAGAAATTAAGCCTGTCTTGGGAATATTTAGTCTTTAAGCCTGGATATTCCAGGCTGTAACACAAGGGAAAATCTTTAACATAGCCCCCTAGAAGGCATCTAAGGCCCCAAGAGCCTCACCAACCTGACCTAAGATGACAATTCTGCTTGAGCCCCAATTTCCTTACATGGTGAAAACCTTAAACTCCTATTGATTGCCATGAGTTCAGGTCTTAGGACCTCTCTCCCCTTCTATACCCACACAGAGATCTTCCTCCTCAAAAAATGAAGTGAATTGGAATAAATATCTCTACCCAGATCATCTTCTGTTCCCTCTTCCCACCTTTGTGAGCCATGCACAGCAGCAGCCGGTGCTTAAAAAGATATTTTGATTTGGAGGGAAAATCCATTTTACAAGCTACTCACCAAGCCACAAAATATACTTGTCAGAAAAGTGTGAGATATTAGAAAGGAAATAATCAGTGTTGCTTTATTAAGTGGTTCAAGAGCATCTATGGTTACAGTGTCACAGATAAGACTTGTATTTCTGTGGAAGAGTTTTCTTAGAGGTTTTAATGTGGTTTTTTTTCCTCTTTTGTTTTTTTTCAGTTCTGCCACAGACCTAAGTTTTCAGTTTTGCAGACCTTGTTCTTCTGCTTGTTTATAGTGGCTGTAACGTCTTTTATCTGTTGGTTTTTCTGTGTGTGTCTTTCTCTCCCTCTTCCTGCAAATAGTGTTTATCTGTCATTGGTCCAAATTACACAATATTCACATTAAATCAAGTGAGAAAGAATTAAACAGTGTCATTGTTTATGGTTGTATGGACTTCTGATATGCAGAAAGACAAAAATTGCATGACCACATAGCTATTGTCCTGAAAATACCCTGGGAAAGTTTTACTATAAAAATTTAAACATTAATTTGCTATTTTGGAGATTAAATATAGCAGGATTCTATTCCTAAAGTTTCCAGATAAAATATGGCAGTAACTGGTTAAAGTGGTCAGGTCTCCTTGGTGTCAGGTGTTATTCTTATAATACTGACAGAGAAAAAAATAAGGCAAGATTTGCAGTGGAGGCTTTACTTGGTAAGCATTAGGCATGGTTATCATGAGCTTATGAAAGGCCAACTTTTCGAAAAGTCCATGCTGTTGAATTCTTGGAGCTTTTCGCAGTCATGGAGTGCTGCTGCACTCTCAAGATTAATATCTAGAAAATGAGAACTGATTATTCTGCACAGGAATGCCCCGTTGTTCTGTCACAAAGTATTCTTAATAGTGCTGGTAGTGCTGGCAGAAGAGTCTCCTTAAGTGTCTGTTTAGTCTGTCTTCACAACTTATCTGCAGTAAATGCAATGTTAAATATTCATGTCCTCCAGCAGTTTTTTGGGTCACAAAATGTTAAGTGTAGTGAACACCCTATTCCCACCACTTTTTTTCTCCATTAGTTTTCAAGAAGATGGAGGGGAAAGAACTCTTTCAAGACACAAGTCATTTCATATTGGATTAATTTTAGAGTGCACGAAGATTGTGCTTAGTTCTTTGCCATTTTTCTGTTTCTTCTGCTTACATTTAACAGACAAATCGAGAAATATAGGCTAGGAATTAGGAAGACGAGAGCATTTCACGTTTGCTTCTCATTTTGTTTTTCTGAATCTGTGTAGTGACAGTTTGCAAATCCTGCTATCATTTCCAGCCATATGGTGAGCTAATAAACTCTGAAAGAGTTTGGTCATTATTTAGCTAGCCAGGCAGTGGCAATTAAGTGGAGGAAGAAAAAGTGGTGCTTAATTCAAGGAAGAGCAATAATGTGATTAACGGGTAGGATCTTGTTTGGACTGGAATGGTAGCTAGAGTGCATGTTTATTCTGCAGGGAAGGTACAACTTATTCACCTGGAAGTAAATGTTACTTGTCAGCAGTGTGCCCAGGGGAATGAAGAGTAATCACAATTTCCAGTTTGTTCTGTCTCATAGGCCGTGTGCTCTGAGGATGCATCAAATTTTACGGCATCTGCAGGCACAGACCGGAGATTTTACAGTTAATTCTTAAGCAGTAAAGCAGATAGGGGAAGGATGACATTCTATTTAACGCCTACTTACGCACCTTTTACTGTAAACACTAGATTGTGTTAGTTTAATTAAAGAATTCATTGGATTTTATGTGCTATTTACTCATAAAGATTTCACCAGTGGTACTACTGATTACTGCTTTTGTAGGCACTGGCAATAATATTGCTTTGCAAAGAGGAAAAGGAGAGAGAAAATCAGAGAAGTCAATTCTATAAGCAAAATATATGTCCATTTGTACATGTGAATATATATTTATCATGAGCGTTTTTTTTCCAGAAAGTTTAACATTTCACAAAGCATTTGAAATGTTTGCTTAATTTTCTAAAATAACTATTTTTTTGTTGTTGCTTTTTTTTCAGAGAAAATGGGTAATATGCAGATAATCATGGTTCTCTCTCTGTCTTTCTCTCTTTTAATCAGCCTCTTATTCCTAGAAGCCCTACAAGCAGTGTTGCTACGCCATCCAGCACTATCAGCACGCCTACGAAAAGAGACAGTTCTGCCCTGCAGGATCTCTACATACCCCCTCCACCAACAGAACCTTATGTTCCCAGGTAAAAAAAAAAAAAAAATCATTTCAGGTACAATTTATGGGCAAAAAATACTTGTAAAATAACCAAGTATTCTATTCTTGCCTGGAGCTGCAGAACTAGGCCAATAATACTTGATTTTGCAGGGGATGGTTATTTGCAGTAGATATGCTGAGCTAGACTCACAGCAGTCTGAAGCAATAGCTTCTCTGCCAAACAGTATCCTTTGCAAAGGAAGGTGCAAAACCATGTTTTCTCAAGTATAGGATAATCTAGTTCCCATAGCAGTCTATTTCCAAAGAGCAAAAATTACCCCAAATCCTGAATCTGTAAGTAGGATAAAAGTTATATCTGTCCCCTTGGCTAGAAGACATAACACAACAAGGAGCAAAAGCCAAAAGCCAAAAAAAAAAAAAAAAAAAAAACAGCTTTGACAGTCAGAGCACTATTTTGCTCAGCCGTAGGATTTATTTTTTCTGATTGATTTAGTTTGTTAGTATCAGCAATTTTAAGAATGCCTTTTTGTGTGGCCACCGTCTATTCTCTGCAGTGACTCCACGTGCCATAAATGCACAGCCACTCCAGGCTGCCACCTGCAAGAGGCACTTTCGCCTCTGTCCCTGCATGTCTCTGGCTTCCCAGACTGAGCCAGAGGAGCTGCATACTCATAGTTCCACCCTCACGTGACCTCAACTGAATTGTGAAAAGCATGTTTTGCTTTCCAAAAACTGTTAAACATTCTTGGTGTAAGTTATAATAAGTGCACAGAGACATAGGAGATTTTTTTTTTAGAGGAATCAGTGTTTCTAAAGTTTCTTCTTTATTACTAGATTCGGAATGTTGCATGTACGCTTAGTGTATTTTTAAATTACTGCTTGATTTACTTTGCTTTTAGTTAACTTTTTTAAAGATTGTAAGGGCAGCATGTCCTTTCTTGTACAAGAGTTTCTTGTACTTGAGTTTTTCTTAGACTCACATATCAGTAACTCTTCAAGCCAATTAATATGATGTGTGGCCTGCTACTGAGTTTCCCTGGGGCTTATCCAGGAGAGAGGTGTATGGCAAATTAAACAGCCCAGTGGGAAGGAGAAATTGTGTTTCTATGATAAATTCTTACTCATCAGAGATGTATAAGGAAAACCTTCCAGAGAAAAATAGTGACTTTTCACTTCATAATTTAGGTGGTGTCACAGCCCTTTTATAAAGCTATGACCAGAACCCTATATTCTTTCATTATCACTGCCTTATCTGTTACCCAGCCTGTTTTCTATTTCTGGGAAAAAGGAAAGATCCTTCTCATCATTGTCATTTTATGTTGATTGTGAAACATCTGCCCTGTTGGCTAATAAAATAGTAGCCATCTTAAAGTGACAAACAATATATAGTCTAGTTCAGTAACTAGATTAGCTTTTTTCTTGTGATTACATAAAAACATTGTCAGTAATTGTACTTGAATTGTTCATAGGGATTAAATATGTCTTTCATCTGTCTCATGACTAGATCATTTGTTATGCCCATGTAAATACAATTTTAAGAACACAGTTTTCAAAAACTGTACAGAAGAATACAAGCATTTGATTTTGAAACCATTACGATAAAAACTCTGGAATGCAAAACAAAGCAAGAAGAGCCCATAGTCTTTAGGTTTCTCTTTGACTGAAGTAGTTAACTGGTGAAAACCATCAACCTTGAAACTGAAATTGTACCAACATGAAAAAAGTAGTGTCTTTGTACTGATGCTGATCATGACAGTATTATTTTTATTGTTTAGTAAAAAACATTTTTTTCTCAGAGTATTTTTACTAGTTTCTGGGCAGTCAGCTGTTTTGCTGTAGAAACTGAAAATTTTAACATGTGTTTTGATTATTTATTAATAACACTTCTTAAATTGTGATGTTAATGCACGAAGTTGGACCAATTCTGATTAAATGTTAACTTGCTTATTAGTACAATCTGCAATCTTACAGGAAGATTAAGCCATGTACTTTTGAACCTTCTTTTGTCATCATAATCATCATGGGCTACAGTTCATATCAGAGACCTGTCACAGAGCATATAGTCTTTCTGCATGATCCGTTTTGGCACTTCTGCAGGCTTTTTTAATTTTATTTATTTATTAGAATATGTTAACTGCATTTAAGCGAACCTTTATTTGGGGCATTAACAAACTGCCCAGCATCTGCTTCTGTTTATTTTTTGCTATTGTGGGGAAGAGCTGCCTAATATATTTAAAAATGTGAAAGTATAAAAGAGTAACATCAGTGTTGTCACCTTTCCCTAAAATACAAAATGGTGCTTCCATTGGGTGCTTCCAAAAGGAAGAGCAAAAGCGTAGATGTACGTCATCTTTATTTGCATGGTGCTTTTCATCGGAAACCAAAAAAGTAGATACATTTTTATTTTAAGTTTCCTTCACAAAACAAAAAACAGAAAAAAAACAGTAAGATAGATAGGGTCTGTATTGGAAATGAATATGGAGAGATATGTGGGATAACTGACACTTATGTGTGTCTGCGTGCATATGTGATATATGATCCTGGCACTGGTCTATGGCACCCATTTTCTCTTCAGACATATTTCCATATTTATTGAAATATTAACAGTAGAAAACTGCAAATGTCCCAGTAGATTAAAACTTTCTCTTGTTTACTGAAGGGACGAAAAGGGAAATCTTCCGTGTGATGATGTTGGCAGACACATAGTGGGCAAGCCGGTTCACACAGGATCCGAATCTCCAAATTCATTCCTTGACCAAGAATATCGGAAGCGCTTTAATGTCGTTGAAGAAGATGCAGTTTTATACTGCTATGAATATGAGAAAGGAAGAACGAGCGGTCCTGGGAGGAGAGAGAGCACACCAACATATGGTATGGTATTAATCTGATAGTTTTTTGTAATCTTTCTTAATCTTTCCTTATTTTGATCTTATATTTTTTCATGCATCTGCTTTTGTATTTAAGCATAAAAATGTTCTCAGTGGCCATTGATTTTATGAAGAATTCAGTTTTGTTTAGTCTGAACTAAGCCTAAGAGCTTACTCTGCACATGGAGAAAATGCATTGCTTATGATAAAGGGAGTCCGGTTTTGTACCAATGATCTGTCTGTCTGGAAGTTTTAGACAAAATCCATATTCTTAATTGGATCAGCTTGATTTTCTGGCTTGTGCTGCAGTACCATTTTGTCAGAAACCAATTCTTTATACTAAAAATACAGGATGGAAATGGGCTCCCAATATGAGGGCACCCATTTCATCATTTTAGAACATGCTATATTAGAAGAATTTACCCTGATATGATCATTCTAAAGATCAAAAGCAGATTTGACAAGTGATGGCATGCTGCTTTCATGCTGCAATGCTCTTTAAAACTCCTTTATTTTTTTCTAGTGCTAGAATTGAGTGATAATATGCTTTTTTTTTTTTTTGTAATATAATATTAACCTCCTGTAACTGCCTATATATGGCAATCCCTCTTTTTTGAGGTTGTGTGTTGTCCAAGAAAGAATTATGTATGTAAATACAAACATGTATTCATACTGGTACTTCCACAGCCTGGATTTTGACCTACATAGGGTGAGAATGTTGAAACAAATTCTGGTGAGAGTTTGAGTCCTCTGACCTTGATGCTCTGTTATTTTCCCTTTCACGCAATTGGAACTCTTCCCTTAGCTTGTATTACAGCTTGTTATCTTTGGACTAGGATAATTGCTTTTCTGTTACCAAATGCAAAATTGTAGAATTGTAGAGCTTCTAGAATATAGAATAGAGCTGTTAGAATATAGAAGAAAATGAACAGAGAATCTCATTTTGTTTTACACATTCACCTTATTGCATTCTTCCCAGATTTCTGTGGCAAAGCAAGGAAGGCAAAAATGTTTTGGGTAGAGTCTGCAGATTTTTACGTAAAAAAATTAGCTGAATTCCTTGATCATAGCTATAATATGAAGGATAAGCTTGCCTTGAAAAAAGATATTATTGTTACTATTATTTATTTTATATTGTTAGCTAAGCACATACCTAAATATATTTTTGCCCTGGTTTCTGTGTTGTTTTAACGACTAAACTGAGCACAAGCTGTATGTTGGAGTAACTACAATAACTCAGGCATCATTCTGCTTTGAGAAGACAGACATAATTTCTGAGGAAGTACGGATTTGGTACATCATACAGCAGAGCTCCAGAATCACCTGGGAATGTAGAGATGAGCTGAATCTGAGCTGCCAATCATATCCTCAGGACTCTTGGAGATATAGTTAGAGAATGCTAAAGGATATATTTTCATAAAAAATACACTTGTTTTACAGAGCCACACAGTCTTGCTGCCAAATTTTCAGTATCCTTTTGATTCTGAAGCATTTTCAGGTGTTTTCCAAGACTACCCATACTGTATGAAATAACCGCTAAGTGTTTAAAGTTAATATATCAATTTAATTACTCCTCCATTTCAACTGTAAAATTGGTGGCTACAGTCATACATCCATTAAAAAAGATGCTTGTTGTCCCTGATTTTAACTTTTAATCCTAGCAGTCTAGAGTGAAGAAGACCACATTTTGTATTCAAGGATTGCTGAATCCATTATATGGCTAGCAGATAGCTTTTTATCTTCTTTTTTCATTAGCAGAAAGAGTATAAATGCATGGATCAAAGATTGTGCTACCATTATTTAACACATTTATTATATAACTTTTCACTTTTAACCTCATTACATTTTTAATGAATTCAGACCATAGGGTCTGTTTTCAGTTAAGTTTATTTTCTAAGAATATTACCATTTCAGCATTAAGTTATGAACTTTCCCACATGGCATTAGTTAGCATAAGATTTGTGGCTGGCCACAACCTCCAGATTTCACAGAAACCTGGAATGTGAAGATCACAGTCTTCTTTTTCATCATGCCTTATTAAAGAAGGTCAAGCAGTGTTAAGGGGGCTCAAAAAATAATTGTTTTAAATGTGCACTCATTAATTATGTGGTGACATTATTTTCTTTTTTTTTCTTTTACTGCTTCGCAGTCTTCCTTCCTAAGAGGTTAACAGAGCCCTTCATAATTGCTCTTTAGGAGCCTATTGATGTTTTTTGACAACCTTAGTAAAGAGATTTCTCTCTCATGCACTTTCTGGCTTCCAGCTGTTGCATAATTGTTGCTAATTGGCCTTCGTGAGCCAGCCTTCACAACCAAAAGACATTTTCCTAAGTGTAGGATCCAGGGAAAGCAGATTTAGTAGATCCGTGTGGGCTAACAAGTTAATTAGCAGAAATGCCATGCAAATGAAGGAGTATCATTCACACAGCTGGTCATTGCAGTTATACTGACAGGTAGAAAATGCTATAGCCTTTGATTGTAATCAAGCTCTATTTGATTTTATATCTTGTGGATCTTTTTACACATGAAAGTGCCTTGTATCCCATATTGTGAATTAAGTGTCACACAGAAAAGAAAGTTGTATTTCTAGAAGTACCTATTGAGGGTTCTGTTCAAATATACATGAGGCTACTACATATCCTCTCAGGAAGTGATTTCTTAACTACAAGCTTAAAATCTCCCTGGCTTCAATCAGACTTATACATGTGTCCATAAATAGTTAAACAAATCATAAATAAAAAAAGTTAAATATGTTAGCTGTATTTTCTGAGTAATGCTGTACTTGCAAATGAAACCTGCAATCCATAAGGAACTTCTAGCTTTTTCTTTTCTGAGATCACTATGATATCCTGTTCTTTTTTAATAAAGTCATTACAACTTTTTCCTGTTACACGGTTCGCATGGGACTGATGCCCTTCAGTGGATGCCATATTTAAATGGGTAGATAGACATCTCTGAATATTTGTATTGAATATAACCAGATGTCTTTTTTACCAGCATCTTTTGACTGAACATGAATGAATGGGACCGATCATCTTTATTGAGGAAGTTTTCTAGTGAAATACATTAGAAGACTTTTAAGATTTTAGTTTGAGCTCTGCTAAGCTTAGAAAAAAAATATTTACTCACTTTTATGCAACATGACTAGTGGACTGATTTAAAAAAGAGCAAAGAAAGACCTTATTTCTGAAAATATTTGTTTACAGTCTGTCTTGTGTCATGTTACTCTGGTCTTTGTTTCAATGTATTACTTAACTTGTTAAAAAAATCAGGTTTCTAAGTAGCTGTATGAATTTGCATAGCATATTTTCACTGAATTTCCATCTGTATTTGCGGACTTTTAAGCAGTAAACATATTTTCCAGCTTTTTAAAAAATCACTTGAGCAGCTTCCAAATTCAGGCTTTACAAATATATAGTAGTTTTCAGTTTTTCTGTTTCTTCTTGTCTTCTGAGATCAAAGTGATTTTTCCAGTGCTAACAGACTGTTTTTCTGTGGGTGAAATGATATAAAAAGAAATTACAAATAGAGGTTTTCTGTTTCCTTTCTCATTCAGTCACTGATGGGTCTTTTAAGCCCACCAGCAAAGATGCTATTTGTGAAGGTACTTTGGTGATGTGCACGTGTTTCTGTTAGAAACAATTCCTTCTTTATGCTTTCCAACCATTCTCTCCATGTGTGTACCAGGGCCTTGCAGAATAATAAACAGATATTGCACAGTGAAAACTAATCTGTAAACTGAATACGTTTGGAGAAAGCTCAGTCTGAGTGTTCATGATTTAGTAGGCACTGGATTTATTTCCCAAGCTTAAAAAAAAAATAAAAAAGCTCTGAAATACCTAGCTGCTTTTTGTCCTTTTAAAGAACATAAAACTCCTGTTTTAACCTCTTGTTCAGAAGCTGTGCTGAAACCTCTTTCATAAGCAATCCTGTAGAATAATCACATTATCATTTAATTTGTTCTTTCTTTTAAAGAATGTTAGTTTAACACTGCTCTATAAAATGGTGCGTGATCTCATTTTTTCCTCTGTTTCCAGGGAAACTAAGGCCTATTTCTATGCCAGTAGAATATAATTGGGTGGGGGATTATGAAGACCCCAATAAAATAAAAAGAGATAGTAGGAGAGGTAAGTGATTTTGACATACATCTTGAACATGATGTTATAGTTTTTATCCCCATTTAAGCTATGATAATATGTTTCAAGCCCTCATTTTGATGAGGGCTGGGTTAATTGTATATTTCTGTGAGCCTGGCTTGGGGGTCTTCCATTATATATATATAATATATATATATATATAATATATATAATATATATATATACACTTAATTTTTCTCATAGCTTCTATTAGGATTTCACAACCAGGCAAGAGGAAATCACAGCTTCAAATCACTGCAGTTTGGTTTAACTTCAGTGATATTGATATTTTATCGATTGAATGGAATTATACAGTTCTTTTGGAAAATTTAAGCTTTTATAATATAGTGTTTTTATTGCTATATATTGTTATGCCAGTGTGAGAATTACTTGTTAAGTTTCTTTGTCTTTGTAAGTTCTTTTGGAGTGAAAAACATTCTAGAGCAGATCGAAATAGTCAAGATGAGTTCTTCAAAGTTCTGGTTTGGAAGGCTCAGCTATGTAACTTCACATATGAAATTATAACCTCTGAGCTGACTAGAATCACTCTGCAATAATATCTTAAAAAAACATCCCAAGAATGAAAGCATCAGCTCAGTGCTCAATAAGGACCAAAAAAAGAAAACACTGTTAAAAATAATTTGGAAAATAATGCAAAGCACTGCTCTATAAGTTATTGCATGTTAGGTACATGTATGATTCCAATCTCTCCAGCTCTTAAAAAAAAAAAAATAATAGAAGAATTGAGAATGGTTCAGGGAACAGCAGCAAAGCTGATGGTATATGTGCAATAGCTTCCATAAAAGGAATGATTAAGTAGGTTGGACTTCATTTATGTGGAAGAGCATAGGCAGGATCTGCTACAGTTTTATTAAAACCTTGTGTAGAATGAAATGAGTGGATAGGCCGGTCGCTTCCCCTTCCAGTACAAAAACTGTGAAATATCAAATGCTTCTGTCCACTAGTGGTTAGATATAAAAAGAGATGACTCCTCATTCACTACGGATTCAGACTGAGGATCCCTTTAACACAGGCAATTGTGTGAAGTTTAGAGGAATACAAACAAAGATTAGACAAGCTCATGAAAGACAAATATGTTTAGGTTTTTTAAGTTCACAAACACTTCATCTGGCTCAAAATATCCATTGGCTACCAACTGATAGATGCTGGAAGAGTATTCATAGAAAGCATGAATGCTAAAGAGAACAAAGTCAGGAGAATGTTTAAAGCAAATTACTTGTGAATGTATGACATCCCAGTCATTTACATTTACTTGTCTTGCTTAAAAAAAAAAAAAAAGAAAAAAAAAAGTTGCAAATGTCATTATAAGTTGTGCTAGCACTATCTTTTTTTAAATTCTCAAGACAGCCTTTATAGTTACGGAGTTTCTTTTATGTTCTGTTCTTATTGTCAGAGAAACCACAAAACTCTGAGTGTTTTCAGTCTTTTCCCTACCAAAAGATTCACTATTTTCTTATTATATCCAGACCAAAGAGATAAATATGTTTAGTTAATGAGATAGCCACCAAGACTTAGAATCTCAGATCTACCAGATGCAGGAATGTTGTCTGTTTTGGAAGGGAGATTATTCTCCATGTGACAGTTAACAATGCTCCCTTGCTTTTTTTTGTTTCTTTCAAAGAAAATTCGTTACTTCGCTATATGAGCAATGAGAAAATAGGTCAAGAAGAATACATGTTTCAAAGGAATAGCAAAAAGGATACTGGGAAAAAATCCAAAAAGAAGGGAGACAAGAGTAATAGTCCAAGCCATTACTCGTTGTTGCCTAGCTTACAAATGGATTCACTGAGGCAAGAAGTTATGGGCACACCTGGACCAGAAACAACTTTGTATCATGTGAGTAAAAATAATATTAAAAAAATCTTTGCTCCATGCTTGTAATGAGGCTGTCTTATCTAATATACATATATATATATTTATATATATAAAATATGTATAATAGTTCATAAAATAATAGTTTATAAATATATAATAGTTTATAAAAATATAGTGCTGCTGAAGCTTTTTTGATTGCTGTTATTGTATATTGATTCCTCTTCTTCTGACAATAGCTGTATCCCAAAGAAGTATTTTGGAGTTATTACTCTGATATTACAAATGCAGGATGGACACCTATAACTGTTGTTTAAATCATGGAGTGAGTGTTGTGTTTGGAAAGGAGTGTGCTGTCTCAATCTCGCTGTCTTGCTTCTGTTGGAAATATTTCCGACAAAGAGAATGTAATTTCAACTGCCAGTGTCTCACAGATCAGTGTGGGCTTGTCAGGAGGTCTTCTGTGCAAAGTGCGTGAGCAAGGGCTGGTGGAGCTCCGCTGAGTCCATAGGGAACAGGTAAACTGGGTTTCCTGTTGTAAAACTTCGCTTTGGATAATCACATTATAAATTGGTGTAGGATAATTGAAACTAATGGAACTTTTTCAACCTTTTAAACCACCTGAATGCCTGGTCTGCTGGTTTCTAAAACTCCCTTTGGCACTACATGTATAGGTGAGTCTGATAAATTTCAGGGATGTCTTTTATATGTGCTTGTGGTGTGTTTTAATTAAATCAGATCTTTTAGATGCAATGGATGCTCTTCCCATTCGTGTTTATTAGTAGCAATCTAAGTGCAAGGATGATAATATTTTCTTATTCTCTTACCTCCAGCTTTAGTCTTACACTCTTTTTGTAACTTGGGAATGCAATAGTGGGGAGATTTCCATTTGCAAAAGCAGACTGATACGTAGTGTTTCCCTAATACATAAACAAAAGAAGTATGCAAGTGTCTCAAGACTGTGTCCTCTTCTTAAGCTCTACAGTCTTTACTGGTAGGAATCTAGTCAGTCCAAGAGAGACTCAAAGTCAAATATTTAGAGAAGAAATGGAGAAATAATCTGTGTAACAGTGGACTTTGTAACGTCTACAGAGGTATAGGGTACAGTAAATTTGGATCACTTTTCATGCATTGGGAAAGCACTTATCCTTCCCCTTGAATTAACTCATTCCATCACTTTCTTCCATATAGCAGTCCTTCACTAGTGCAGATTAAATTTCTTAACAAGTTTTTCTACTTTGAAAAGAGTTTTTTATATATATACTTTAAGGTTCCTTCCTTGTTTTTCCTCAGTTACTTCCATTAGAAATCACCTGGAAATATCTTTAAAATTCTGGCTTGAAAGTTACTAAGGAACAGAATCCTAGTATTAACATTTTTATTGTAGTTTCATGTAGTTTGGATATCCATCCACAAAAACTTAGCTGTTAGCACAAGCTCCACCAGTATCTGATAACCATTTTCATGCACGAGTGCTTTTAAATGACATATCCATAAGGCCATTAATCTTCGCCATCATTTGATAAGCCAAGTAGGAGTTTATTTATTTATACAAGAAGAGGCATGTTATTCTTTCTTCAGAATCCAAATCAGTATTGATCTGCAAGCTGTTTTGAAGTGATGTGCAGGAAATAAATGGAAAGAGGAAGCTTGATGCCTTGATTTGTGCCCAGGAAAGAGGGAAGTGGCCCTTCAGAGATCATTCACAACCCTCTAGAGCTAAGCACAGCTGGTCCTGTAGCCAGATACCATCCAGCTGCCCCCATAAGGTACAATACAGCTCCCTCTTTAAGGGACGCAAGCGTAGTAAATGGAGAAAGCCTTATCCAGCTTGCGGAAGGGGCTGTGTGGTGTTGCTGCACACCAAGGCCTGCTCACACTCTGGTCTGAAATGTGCCAATGCAGGAGAGATCACTGAGTGGACTGCAAAAATGCAGAGCCGGAATTACTGCTGGAATAGCTGTTACTAATGATGATGTAAAGAATGGATGATAAATATGGAGAAAGATGCTCAATAGCACAGATGAGCTGAGAAGTGAAAGAGTTTAAGCAGCCTGCCCTGGAGAGGAGTCTTTGTAGTGGTTGGGGGAGAAGTATTTCCTGGTAATATTACATACACAGTTCAACGAGCAGATAAAGAAAGGAATATAGATAAATCACAAAGAGCTCATATGTGGCTGTATCGCAGTTTTATTAAGCTATACGTAACAAATAGGAGAAAGAAACAAGTGATTCATTTTTAAATGTAAAATTCTATTTATAATCACTGAGAAGTGGTTTTCCTATTACAAAATAAGCTTTTCAGAATCAGCTACCAAGTTGCAACAAGGACTTTGGATTATTTGCAAATGAGAACCTCTGAAAGAACATGATTCAGTGCAAGAAGAGTGCTTTCTTGGGCATTACTTTTATCGTCTTGCTATTCATAGTAAGATGTCAATCTATATTCATGCACAGATTCAGCCAGGGAAGCCAGCACAACTGTTTTGCTTCTCCGTTGTTATTTGTTTTTGTTAACATAATGATTGGAGAGATGTAATTTACCTCTCACCTATTAAACTTTTTTATTATTCTATTTTTGTTAGTGTCACTTACCACAAGTCAAAATTTTGCTTTCAGGCAATAAAATTCCTATAAACTGGAAATGATGATAACTCCATGTTTTGTTTTGTTTCTGCCTAAAGGAAATGGTTCCAGTGTCCGTTGATTTCTAGCCAAGTTGTTGTTTTTACATGCTATTTTTTTTCTTCAGTATTACTGAAGAAATATCAACAAAGACTTATTATTTTGTATTAAACCAAGGCAAACTTTTTGAGCTGTTACTAATCTGTGTGCAAAAAGGTTTTCAAAGTAATCTAGTACTGTACACGTAAGTGGTGCAATTAAAATTGTTTTGGACCTTTGGAGCAACAGGACCTGAAAGCTCTGACACACAGTTATAGTTCAGTAAGTTCATTATAATATTCTGCATAGGAATTTCTTTAGTATATAGCACTTTATTTTTCTTACAGGAAAATAATATAGTTATTTAGTAAGCAAAAAGAAGTTCTACATCAAGGTAATAATAATATACTCCTATCCAAATAGATAGAACTTTCCGTTAGTTTAGGAACAACAGCACCTTGGGGAAAAAATGCAAACTGTTTTGCATAGCAGAAAATTTTGCAAGAAAAAGCCTTGCTTACAAACTGTTTTCATACTTACACCAACAAAGTTATATTACTGGCCTTGTTCTCTCCCTCTTATACCTGTACCATTTGAATACTATGTTCATTTGTTCCTATATATTAGACAATATCTAATGAATTACTCATCATTTTAGGAGAAGTGATTAAAAAGTGCTTTCAGCTTCTCGCTTTGCTGATAACAAGCCTCTTTAAAATTATGTAAACCAGAACAAGAGTAGTTTTTTTGCTCATTCTAGTTTTATTTGAAGATGAAGCAGACTATGCATTTTTAAATTCATATATCTGAAATGGGTGATTCAGGAAGGGGTGTAGGTGGGAAACAAAGTTATCCTAGAGATTCATCTCTATCCTAGAGATTCATGTCTGCTTCATCTCTATGAATAGAGATGAAGCAGAATATAGTTTTCAGTAGTATTTGCATATGTACACACTCCATCTTTAACATTGCATTCTTCCCTTAAAAAAAGGAGAAATAACATTGAGGCTGGCAATCATTCTTTGTTTGTTTTACTATGTTTGCATTGAAGTTTCTGTACTTCTTGTCACATTTTTCCCACATTTTTCCATCTTTTGCCAAGTATAACTATCCACGTAGCTGGAGCACAGCTTAATGATGCTCAGCTCACATAAGTAACTTTAGTACTCATTCCAGTGAGCATCTACAGAGCACCTAGCACTCATCTTTCTACTTTGCCTGTGGGGAGACATTGTGGTGCTTTTTCCAGATATTTTTCTCCTTTCCTCACAGAGAAAAATGCAGGGAAGTGATTTTTCAAAGTTCAATTCAAAATGTATATGTTTAGATGATCTCAGTGCAGAGAACTTTACCAAAAGCTTGTTCTGAAAACTCAAAAGCCAGCTCTGCATGAGTGGCTGGTTTTTCCATACTCCTGTTCCTCTCCACAGCAAACCTGAAAGGAAAGAAAAAAGGAAGGTACTTCAGCATAAAGTGCCTACATTTTTAATGGAAATTTTTGAATTGAATAGGCATATATTTATGAAGCCTCATAATTGTAGCACTCAGTAGCTAGCATTTAAGGCAACACAGAACATATTCATGAGTTTCCTAATAAACCTGTACACAAACTACCAATCAATTTGTTGCAGAAATCTTCTGAATAGAAATGGTATCTAATAAGCATTGCATAATATAAGGCTATTTCCTCCTCCCAAAAAAGCCTTACAAAACCCAGCAGTTTATTATAATTGTTATCATTACAGTACTTAAAGAGTTTCTGTTATGTGACTTTTTAGTATGAGTATTTGTAATTAAACAGAAACAGGCTCATAGAAAAAAATGAAAATGTAATTGCACAGATTTTAAGTAGGTGTCTGCAATCTAGAATGTCACTTTACTGTTAGAACAGATGGTCTTGGTACATTTTCTTCTTCAAACTATTTGAAGTCCAACTATGGCAGTACTTAAATATCAAGGCTCTCTTTTCCTTTGCATTGTTCATGTTTTCACAATTATCTTAGAGTTAGAATGGTAATTGCCTTAGAATAAAAATCTAGCTGTTGATATCAAGGTCCGTTCTTACCTACAGGCACAGTAGAAATACTGTCCACAAACATTTCCATGATTTTTGTTATCATTAATATTTGAAGTGCTTTTGTTTTTCTCCATGCTGTTTTAGCGCCTCTATTGCTAGGGTAATACTAAGCCTTGCAGATTTAGAGTTGCAAGTCTCCATCACCAGCAAAGGAAATTTTAAACTCCTTCTTGAAAAGGTATTTGTCACAAATACTTGATTAAAAAACTTACTCAGCTGAAGTTCAAAAGCATTGGCTTTTTTATTTCCGGCTAAGAAACTACACTGAATTTTAAATAAATGT